AAATGTACAAAGCATCATGTTACCATCATGAAAATTGTGCAAAAATAAAGATGTATTTTTCGATCGAAAAAGATTTTGATTCTACTTCTATTCAACATTTCAATAACATTAGACGTGGCAGAAGCGTATCAAATTCACCTGGCACTTCAAATTTTTTCACATCAAAAGCCATCACGGCGAAATAATAGTTTTTCTATCGGTTGTCGTGCATTTTTTTATTAATTTTCTAAATTTTGAGTATAGTACCGCTTTCAGTAAAAGCCCCATAGCTCCATTAGAATGAAAGCTTTTTCGGTCCGGTTTGCTTTGTTTTGATCAGAAATGATTGCTCTTCTCTATCTAACTGCAAAACCAATTTTCAATCATCTTTTCCATTTCTTGATTGAGCACATTGTTGAAGATGGGGAGGTTGTCAACTTTTGATGTATTTTTGTAACTTCGTTCTCGAGCACACCGTCTGCTCTAAAAAAGTTTTTTACAGACCACGAGAAAGAGCACATTTGAAAGTACCAAACATAAACTGAGTTCTCACGTTTGCTACACTTTTTAGCGGAAATAGTAGCAGAAGAAAAAATTGAAGTCGAAAAAAATTTTGAACGTAGGAAGTTTACATTTTTTTTCGGCTTTCATCTAAGTGGCTTACTTTTCTTGATTGGAGTTCTGAAATTATAGTTCAGGTATGATTTTGTGGAGAATTTCTCAGCGCATCTTTTAAAAAAACATCGAGTCTCGGAAACAAATCCAAAGCAAATTATAAGTAAAATACTGAGAGGGACATTCTTTATTAGCAGTGAAATGATCACCAAAAAATAAGACTTTTGATCACCAAATCAATTAAAGAAGTTTTAATTAAAGAAAATATATTCAAGAAGAATATATAGCAATTTAATAGAAAATTAATTGCAACGACCTTTACCTTTTCTCTTACCCAATGGTTCACAACGTGTTTTATCCGTCACCTGGTACAGGTTGAATACAATGCCTAATCCGGATGATGGAACAACATAAAATGTATTAAACCAATGAAAAATATCAAATCGATTTATACTTACTGACCATTTGTAAGCATACAGCTCCGTATCAGGAGATATACTTGTAGCAGCAGCAAATGGTGATGAAATACTTGCCTCTGACCAATCTGTTAACATTTGTTCCATTTTTGGTAGAAACGCCGATAGCTGTAACTTATTACGGAGTGTATATTTTTGTTTTATAATGGCATTCATCGATTCACAACCGTTTTTCGTGGATGGTTTACCAAACGCAGCACCCTCGTACCTAAATGACAGCAACTGGGTTAGTCTTAAGCATGCACATTGATTCTATTTTCTTACCAGTAAGGTAATTTTGTTATCCATTGATCAACAAAGTAATCCGAAAACTTCTTCGTAGCTGGAGTGGCACTCTATTTTTGTATTAGTAAATCTATACCACGATTGAACACATCATCTGAAAAAAGAAAGTTGAACGGCATGTATATCTGCATCAATACTTACCCACTGTTCTTTTGTGACTAAATTGCGATGGAGTCGGCATTTTTGGATCATGTGGAACCAGCACATCATACGACGACTGTGTGGAAACACTGTCTGTTGAGAACTTGTGATACCTGAATAATAAACGGAATATGTGAAGATAAAAGATAAAAAATAGTTGTGGCATACCTAATGCTCCATCCGCCATCACGTGATTAATTAAACATGGCTGATTGAATTCTTGCACAGCTAACGCATTAATTGATATAAATAATTGGTTATAACATTTGGCATTCTCATCATGAGAAATTAATGCTACATCAAAAGGCTTGAAATGACGATTGGCATCCGTTGATCCAAAAATCAAAAGTGGCAATTAATTCCACGTAATTTTGTATGTTGCATCAACTTGCAGATATGTTGTGAACCGAATCTGTTGAAATAATTGTTTTGTGGTAAAGAATACGAAAATATTATTTATATCTAAAATAGTATAAAAGGGCCCAAAAGTTGAATGTCCCTGCTTACCTTCATTATGTTCGTTACACCAGTTTTGTAAAACGAAAACTGAAAAGATCTCTGGTCTATCCTTTCGACGTTCGTACGATACTAAATTGATTAACTTTGTTTCCGTTATTGGAGCATTGGGATGATCTTGAACTAATGATGATTTAATTTGTGTTTGCGATAATCCACATTTAACATATTTTGACACCGATTTCCGAATGGGTGATTGTAAACGTGTTCTCATGTGTATTGAATATGACTGATCACTTTTTCCATATCTACGACGATGTTCATTTCAAAAACGAAAAGCATAAAAGAGATATAAACATATACCTCTATCATAGCTCTCTCTTGTCATATATTCGATTTATATGGAGATTTTTAGATGCACTTGTTGATAGGTCACAAAAATCACTGTAACAGATCAGAGCGAAGATACTTTTCATTCATTTCTCTATATGGCTGAATGCAGTTTTGTGCGTTAATTTCGAATATGTCATTTATTTCTATTAAAAATGCTGAGTTGGTGGAGAAAACTGATTTTGGTGTGTAAAACCATGGGTTTTTATAAAACAAACTGTGAAGTTCAAGGAGATTTGCGCATTTTTATGCATAGGGTATATATGTGACATAGATAGAGGAAGACTTTTGTAAAGTTTGAGATCGATGGAAAGCTAGAAGAGATTGGGAAATTTATTGTACTGAAGTGTTAGTTTTATGCAACTTGTTTAACTAAAAACTATTTTACTTTTAAGCAAAAACAGGATGTAGATTTATTATGAGAACTATTTTTAACACACACAATCATTTGGCTTAGAAAAATTCCAAAACCATCCAAGTATAATGGTTTCGGACGAAATTATCTATTTGACGATGATTTATTATTTTTCAAACGAGTTTTTCCAAGATTCTGGAAGCGACAAACAAGTTAAAAATTTTCACGAAAAGCGATGTCCAAAGGATCGAAGTCTATAGTTCATGATCGAAAATCGAAAAACAAATACTTTTGCTTCCTGATGAAATGTCCATATTATTGCCCCCTGTGTAGATTGGTATGGGCATGGACCACCTTCGTCAAAAGTACTTTCTATATATATTTTTTATCGCTGTTTTTGCTTCCAAAGTTTCTAACTTGGTTTCAACTTTCCAAAACATCAAATGCTATTTTTTCTACTTCCCGAGTCAAAAGAAAACCTGAACTTTTCAGCTTTTCTTTATCCGTAACTCATAAATTTGGCGATAAAAATATCACTGTCTGGACTAAAGTGCGACAAAACAAAACCAAGCATTTTGTTTATTGAACGGTGTGTCACAATTTGAAAAAAGAGGAGCAGACGTTTTGAGACGCTGAATTTAGTCGGACATCGGAAATCATCGTACTCTGAAGTGTTTAATCTTTTTCTGTTGACAATCTATCAAAATAAAGATGAATATCTTAAATCTAATAAAATCCTGAACGATTAGGCATCTGAGTTCGTTCTATAATTAGATAGTAATGAGATTATTCTATTCTTTTGGCGCCATGTGTTTTGTACACGTTTAAAGTTTGAAGTAAATATTCAAATCTTTCTCATGACAA